GTCCTGATGAGAATGTGCAGACAACTGAACGTGTGAAAGAAGACCACTGAGTCAAGACCGTTTACACGTGCAACTATCTATGTTGCTGACGTCGACGGACACACACCATCTGTATGTTGTAATTGGATAATTTAAATTAGCAAGCAGTGACACTAGTGAGACTTTATTAAACTAATTTTTTCCCATTTTTTCGTTAAGGTTCGTTAAGGCGTGAAATATTAATTTGTACCGTAAATGGTACTTGAAATATTATAATGTACTGAAAATGTACTAAAAATCTAAATGTACTTTCAATTTACTGGAAAGGGCAAAATGTACCAGAAAAGTACAAATGTACTAGGAACGGCAACACTGCTCTTAATCTTTGCTTACGAATATAACCATTAAAGAGGCAAAATACTCATAAAATTTATCTTGACAATTCCGTGTCAAGTCTTTGAAACAATTTTGTTTACTAAAAGTATTGTATAATTATGGATAATTTTATATCATTGTCTTTTTAGGACAAAGCTACGAAAACAGCGACAAGTACTACCGTGGCGCTTTGCCGAAACCAGTAAAACCCGTTTTTTTTTTTTTTTTTAAACTCTTTCCGCCCTGTTGGCACTAAAAGCAAGGCCAATTTTATTGTCAGGCAAACCTTAGGCCTAATAGTAAAACCATTAGGACTAACGTTTTCCTGATACCAAGATACCTGATTAACAAGATATGGATTTAAAGTTCATAATGATATTTTTATAAATATTAACATGTGTGGGTGTAAGTGTGTGCAGGTATTAGTATAATAATATATATAGCCTATATAGACAATGTGTAGGAAAACCTAAATTTTTTTTGCCTAGGGACGTCAGGTATTCTTTTGCAGGCCCTAAGGGTGAGCCTGAAGAAAGTTGTCCTTTCTTCAGGCTCACCTTTAATTTCTACACTCTCAGATATTCATACATTAGTTTATGCTGGGGCAGTCACAGTAGTAACACACCATGGACTGAAAATACAATCACAGACAGACACACACAAAACACAATTCTATCACAAGCCTGCCTGGCAGAGAAGAATAGAAACACAAATAAATGACATTAGACAGCAATTAGGCAGGCTGACACAATACACTAAAAACAACATAACACCCAAATTAAATAAACAACTCAAAAACATTTTCAAGAAAATCAAAACACACACAAGACATGAGCATCACAACACACACATTACAGAATACATCGATACATTAAAACAGAAATTTGCAGTCAAAGCACGTAGACTCAAACGATACAAAACATGTACACTACGAAAACAACAAAATAAATTATTCACAAACAATGAAAAACTTTTCTACAGACAAATCAGTACCAAAACAAACACTGATACANCTTTTTCCTTCTCCCTTTTTCACTGTTAGGAAGTTGTCTCCAAAGCACTATTCCAAAGAGAGCCCAATCCTTTCAATATATGTATATGTATAAATATATATTCAGGACTCAACAATGACCAAACACATGCACGAAAATAACAAAGACAGTTTACTTTACCAGTACGATAATCGTGATCCCTACTACTCGAGTTTACACTATATATAAGTAT